AAGCAGAGATACAAAAAGCAGCTGTAAAAGGCGGCCCCGTCCAGGAAACACACAGCCAAGCAGACAAGCTCCAAGGCAGCTCCCATGCCAGAGGACGAAGAGAGCACATCCAAACATTCAATTAAAACAATGTAAATATACCCGAGTTAGCTAAGGAGTGCTAATTTTCATCGGTAGTCCCCCAGCCAGATATAAAAAAGGCAACCTTAAAGTATAAAATCACAAGATAAAATTACAATACCAATTACATAAAAAACATTATGGTTAAGAAATACAATTCATGTAAAATAATGAAAAAATAATTGTAAAATTATTTAAGTATACACAGAAAACCTTAGTGCCCACAAATTTGGCTCTCTACAAGCCATTTTTGTTGCATTCTTTTTGAATGAAGGGAATGACAAAGAGTCTCTGATAGTTTCTGGCACTGTGTTTCATTGCTGAGATGCTCTTACGGAGAAGACAGCCTGACCAAAGGCTGTTTTTCTCCAGTGGATGATGCAGTCTTCCCTCACTGCCCCTCTGGTTGCCCTGACCTCACTGGATCTGAACTGTACAAAGTCACATAGTGGAGGTGGTGCTAAACCATGTCTGATTTTATAAATTAAACAGATGTTTTTGAACTTGATAAGATTGTTCCAGGTAAGTAACTGATATTTCCTTAGAATACTACAGTGGTGGTAATGGTATGGTTTTTTATCCAGTATTTTAAATGCTTGTTTATATAATGTTTCTAATGGTTTTATTGTAGTAGAGTGAGTATTGGACCAACTTATTAGACAATATGTTATATGGGATAAAATCATGGAAAAAAATATGATTTAGCAGCTTCAGTTGAAAGAAAAACTCTAATGAATCTGAAGTTTGCTAAACTAAACTTAATCCTATTACGAACCTTTTGGATATGAGTTTTGAAATTGAGATGCGAATCTATATGTAAACCTAAATATTTATATTCAGTGATGACCTGTAATCTTTCTCCAGATATTAAAATTTCAGGTTCTATATTTATGAGGTTGTTTTTTGAAAAAAACATGGTAACTGTTTTATGTTCAGTTGCAGACAGGATTGCTCAAGCCAGGTTGAGATCAGTGACATGGCCTCAGTTAGTTTTGCGGCAACTTCCTCTGTGGATTTTCCATAAGCCAAGATAGCTGTGTCGTCTGCATACACCAAAGTGTCACAGTTCTTACACACAGATGCTAAATCATTAATATATTGACTGAAAATAATTGGACCTACAATTGATCCCTGTGGAACACCAGTTGATAATAGTAAAGGGGTAGAATTGTATTGGTCAATTCTTACACTTTGAGAACGAGATGAAAGGTATGAACTAATGAGGCTAATGAATTTGGAGGAAAAATTAGGTGTACTGAGTTTGTACAGTAAAATGGAATGATTAACTGTATCAAAAGCTTTACGAAGGTCTAAAAAGATTGCTCCCACTATCCTTCCTTTGTCCATAATGGATTTTAACTTTTCCCAGAAAATAACTTGTTGCCGTCTCTGTAGAATGATTAACCCTAAATCCAAACTGCATTGAGTGTAAAGGAAAAGAACTGCAATTTAAATGATTAATGATTTGTTTAGCAACCAGTTTTCCAAAAATTGTCTGCTGTCATGATTCATGCAGCTATTATTTCATCCAAATGGAAAATGGATAACAGATTAGCAGATCATGGCTTGTCTAAAGTGAAAAGAAGGACTGGGTTATCTACCTTTGCCTTTTTGGAAACACAGGAAGGAGCAATCAGCTAAGTGAGCTTAGTGCTTGGAAAAAATCTTTCATTCCTTTTGAGACACCATGAAAAGTCAGCTGAGTACAAAACATAGAGAGGAAAACAACAAGAAAAGGGACAAGAAGAGAGGGACAAAACCAAACCTAGAACAACTATGTCTGTTCTATTAAAAGTTTTTTTTTCTGTATAATGGGTCTGTTTATGTATTGTCTTCTCAAGTTAGAGGGCCCCATGCCTGTTTTTAACTAGGGCCCCGAATTTCCTAAATCTACCCCTGACTGCTCAAACACACTTCATCTGAGCTGCTGGGATATCTGCTTTCCTCTGGGCCTCATTGCACCCTGGCCCTGCTCTGCTGGATGAAATCTCTCAATCACACCTAATCTAAAGGATGGTTTCACCAAGACTCTGATCCTAACCAGGATTTTCCTTCCTAATTATTCTGCATTTTTCTTATGGTTTTTAACACAAATGACTCAATTCAGTTCAGTTTATTTCTATAGCGCCAATTCACAACACAAGTCATCTCAAGGCACTTTACAGTTAACCAGATCATCCAGTCAAATTGATTCAAAGTTTTCTATCTAAGAAAAACCAGTTGATTGCCTCGACTCATTGACTCGAAGGCAATCCCTCAGACTAAGCATCCTTGAAGAAATAGTGGAGAGGAAAAACTTGCTATTAACAGGAAGGAACCTCCAGCAGAACCAGACCAGGCCATCTGCTGAGGCCGACTGGGGTTCAAGGAGACAGAAGCAGACATAAAAAATGCAACCTTGATGATGAGGATAATCCATCGTTCAGCAAAAGCTATCCAAGTAAAATAATTTGTGACTTTTATTCATAGATATCCATTAGAAACTAGAATTAGAAACTATTCAGTCCACCAAGTCAAATCCATGAACTTCCCTGATAAATTCAGCGTTGGTCCAATAGAACCTGGTATCAGCAAGCGACGTAACAGGCATGAAGATGTGGAGACGTTTCCCTCTCACCAAACACATGGAAGGTGGAGTTTTGAAATTTGTTCTTGTCTGCTCCAGTGCTCTGATGGAGAGTCTGATCACTCCTCTGCAAGATAAGATTGAAGACTGGAAGAAGACGGCCAACCAGCTGGATAAGGATCATGCCAAAGGTAAGTGATAGTTCCCAGGTGAAGCAGATCATTCTTAAGTCTGCAGCATCACTGAGCTCTGGCTCAAGGGTAATGCCATTCATTTTAAAATATCCTGGCTATTAAACAATGAGGGTACATTTAGTTTTTCTATGGGAGGATCCCAGCAGATTGCATGAAGTGTTTCTGCAGTTATTTCGATTTTTTTGTTCCAGTGAAAAGTCAAAAACAGCTGTCACTTGTTCACATGTGAAATAAAAGAAGACTTTAAGCCGCAGGCTTCACGTTCCTCTGAAGCATTTCTGTTCCTCCTCTTTCAGAGTACAAGAGGTCGCGACATGAGATTAAGAAGAAGTCATCAGACACCATAAAGCTGCAGAAGAAGGCCCGTAAAGGTGACGCCTCCACACCGACCCTGCAGCTCATGTTTCTGTCCAGCGCTCATTCTGCATAGCAGAAACCTGTCTACATTTATTCACCACTATCACTGGTCCTACCACTGATAGCAGAGCTTCTCTCAAATAAAACTCAATCATCATCATCATTGAATGGAGCTTGGGTTTTGGAACCACATCAGTTTACTGGAAGTAATATGTTAGTATTTAGAGCCATCTACTGGCCAAACTCAACATTTAGTTCATAATGTTTCCTCAGCCGTAACATGGTAACAGACCTTTTCTCTGTTACCATGGTTACTGAAAAGCGGTCTGTGAATACAACATATAGCAAATGACTTTTGCTCTTTATGTATAAACTGGTTAATATAAAAATACAGCAAACCTCTAGAAAGTGATGGTTTTTCTCACTCAGTATTACATCAGAGATGGATTTAATTACGAGAACCGGAACCACTTAGATAAACTAAAAAAGTAGAACCAAAGAACAAAAATGAATATGAAATAAAAACAAAGTAAAAAAAAAGGAGGCAGAAATCGCCTGCTGGACCTCCTCCCGGTGGGACGTGCCTGGAACACCTCACCAGGGAGTCATCCAGGAGGCATCCTAACCAAATGCCCAAGCCACCTCAACTTGCTCCTCTCGAGGTGGAGGAGCAGCGGCTCTACTCTGAGTCTTCCCGAGATGACGGAGCTCCTCACCCTATCTCTAAGGGAGAGCCCAGACACACTGCTGTAAAAAATTCATTTCAGCCACTTGTATCCCGGATCTCGTTGTTTCGATCATTACCCAAAGCTCATGACCATAGATGAGAGTAGGAACGTAGATCGACCAATAAATCAAGAGCTTTGCTTTTTGGCTCAGCTTTCTCTTCGCCACAACAGATGCCCGCTTCACAGCAGACGCCACACCAATCCGCCTATCGATCTCCTACTCCATCTACTCCTCATTTGCGAACAACACCCCAAGATATTTACCTGTGCCTCAAATTGGGAAAAAAGAAGGATGCATTTGTAGGCCACATAACGAGGAATCTTGGAATCCGACCAGACCTCAGCGATGCTCTATGACGTAATCGGGTCTACGACTCTAGCCTTTGAAGGACGCATCCCAAGATTCAGTGTTCCTGATCCTGAATCAGTTCTTTGCATTTAACCGTATCCAGAAGCATGGTGGTGTGTTCGGCTCTGGACCAGCTTTGATTGTGGCTCTATTATTTTTGCTCTACCCTGTCTTGTTATGGCTTCTTTGTACTAACCTGACCAATAAGTTCTACTGTTTATGCTGACTCCATTTTCTTCCTTTTTTTTGCTTCTATTTTTGCTGCCCCCCTCCTGCTCCCACCACCTCTCTGTCCCTGCGGCATTTGTCTCCCTGTAACAGAGATGCAGGGTAAGTATCAGCCTGTCTCTCTGCACTGCTATGTGTTATCGACTTGTCTGTATGTCTACCTATCTAAAGACAACCAGCTAATTGCATCGACTCATTGACTCTCGCATTGAACTTCTCGAGTTTTCTCTTTCCAGCTAGCAGCAAGCATTCAGATGTTCTGTTCAATCCCAAGCGCTGTGCATCACAGTGTTTTGGCTCTAGCCTCTCAAAACCCACCAGGGTTTTAAAGCGTTTACAACTAATAACTCAGAATGCATGAAAATTACAATGGTAAAATGTTTACCAATATAGACATGTTAGACATCGTTGGAAAGCTTAGATTCTCCACAGTTCAACCACCAATTCATTTTATGGACACAGTGAGCACCAAAGCACAATGAACACAGATATAGCAGCATGTCAAAATGTAAACATGACAAAGCAGCCACAACAAGCAAGCATGTTTTTATTTCTGCTGTTAAAAAAAAGACCTATTATTTTTGAGAATAACAAAAAATAAATTGAATCATGTCTGAACTGATGCAGCTTCAGTGTTTTACCCACCCAATTGCCATGTATATATTCAGAAACAAGAAGGTGTAGGCTTTCAAATAATGTATCACGCATGTAATTTGGGCTTACAGTTCCCAAGTTATTTGCTTTTCCATTTAGGTATTCAAAATAGATGAGGGCTGTTGGGGTAAGAGTCTGGAGTCTGGCTTTCTGCATATATTCTATTTCTGGGGTGAGACGTACAGTAGCAGCCACTCAAAACAACCCTTTCCAGTCAAACGCCAGCTGAATGGCAGCTCACTTCCTTCCAACATCCCACAGAAATCCTCACCAACTTCCAGCCACTGGAGTGACCCTCTCTTGCATTTGTTTTTTACTCTGACTCCACCCTTTCCCTGAATTACAGGGTCTGACCAGCAGGGGCGTGCACACATAGACACTAGGTGGTGCTAAAGCACTAGGAAGTTTGCCCTCTATTAAAGAAAATGCCCTTTTGAAACTCGTTTTTTTATTATTATTATTAATATTATTAAGATTTTACTGAGGTCGGTTTTGAAATGATCTTTTGAAAACCTGAGCCATTAAAAACAACTGAAACAATGCCCCGAAATGACCGACTTACTTGCGCACAAACGACCAGCCTCTCTCTCTTCCTTTGTCACGTGAACTCGCTCGGTCGCCC